GGTATCCGCATTACGATTAGAGGCTTATGACGAGGAAACGAATGATGACGAGCTTCGTACCAACCTGGACCTAGTAGAGGAGGTACGAGACCTGGCCTACATTCGGACTGCAGCCTACCAACAAAGAGTAGATCGGTACTATAACGCCCGGGTCAGAAAACGACAGTTCCATGTCGGCGACCAGGTTCTTCGAAAAGTTATGGTACCTGAGCCTATGTGAGTACTCAGACCGAATTGGGAAGGCCCATACCGTGTAAAGCGAGTATTCGGGGGAGGTACATATGAGCTCGAGACTTTGGAAGGGAAGCAGGTATCTTGAGCATGGAATATCGATAACCAAAGAAGGTACTACTTATAAACCCGTGACTCCAAGGCAAAATTTTTCTAAGTCTATGTGACCACCGAACTGGCCGAAAAAGATGACAGATGGAAGAGAGGACTGTGAACCACTCCCAGAAGCTTAAGCGCTATGGGCTATGGCGCTGAGCAAAGTCGCCTCTTCGGCATAGGCAGACAAGTCCCAGTCGCCTCTTCGGCATAGGCAGAAAAGTCTCAATCGCCTCTTCGACATAGGCAGACAAGTCCTAGTTGCCTCTTTGGCATAGGCAGAAAAGTCCTAGTTGCCTCTTCGGCATAGACAGACAAGTCCTAGTCGCCTCTTCGGCATAGACAGGTCGGGTATGTACCCTACAGTGTCCGTCCACCTCGGCGTACAAAAATACGAGGTTGTTCCTACTTGGAGTTCAGCTCGGCACTTCGGGATAACCAACATTTAGAAAGATTTTTACTCAATTTTTGTTGTACTTGCACACACGAGACTTTTTGAATTATTGTGCTTCATTAACAAAAAGTTCAAAGTACATAAAAAAAAACAGCTACTACAACCGAGCACGGAGGCTCGGGATATACATCATATATGGGGGGTCCAAGAAAAGAGGCATGTTTAAACATCAAATCCGCCAGAATTCCCTACAATAGGTAGGTCGGTCTCCATGTGGTCCTCCTCCACGTCATCTTGGCCTGCCTCCCATGACGGTCTCGCCTCGAGTAGCTCGTCGTCACTTTCTCCCGCGGAGGAGTCAGGTTCCTCATCAACCTCCTTCGTCATCTCCTGAGTAACGTTGGACATGGAGATAGATCCGAAATCAAGCTCGGGGAACTTCTACCGCATCAACCACTTGCAGAGCTTGAAGCCCGATCGGTACGAACCGGAGCCATACTCGACCTGGAGGTCATGAAACTCAGGGAACTCTTTGAACTCCTTTATGGCGCGATCTCTTTCCTAAATCATCGCCTCCTGAATGGCGGTGTCGAAGATCTCAGTGAGCTCCTTGATCATCGCCTCAAGGTTTTCATTCTCCCGAAGGAGAGCTTCCTTCTCCCCCTTGAGCTTCTTCTCCTCCGTCAGCACTAGGATCAGCTCCTCCTGGCTCCGAGCTCCCTTCTTGGCTCTAAGAACTTCACCCCGAGCTAAATTCAGCTCACGGTAGAGCTTTCGAGCGTTCTCTTCAGCCTCCCGAGCTCGCTTCAAGCGGATCTCAAATTGATAAACTAATGAGTGGATAGTGGAGTTCAGCTAAAAGAGAGAGAGAGAGAGAGAGAGAGAGAGAGAGAGAGAGAAAAGCAGGTGTAAATACCATTGACAGAAGAAGCCCGAGCTGACTTGTTGGCATGTCAGCCCACTCCACGACCTTTGCAGGATCCCAGGCACTGAAGTATCTTCAGGCTCGCGAGGTGGGGTCCCCTCATCTTGGTCCTCGTCCAAGTCAACAACCGGAGGTTGGGGGCGAACCTCCTCCCCCGGGAGCTCGACAGAGGTCGACTCTGGCGCTACAACCTCGGGTTCGGCAGGAACCGAAGAACTAGCCTCCTCTCGACAAGACCTCTTCGAGGCCTTTCTTTTCTTTCCCTTCTGAACACTCCTCAGAAGGTTAGTGGCATCAACACCCGTCATAGCTTCTGCAAGAGAGAATAAAAAGAGTTAGCCGCGAATTGAAGTAAGTACGAAAGGAAAAGTAATGTGTGTGTCAAGGTAGAGGCCTACCAAGAGGACTCAGCCCATCTCGTATAAGCCTCTCCTCAGCCAAGAAATCTTCTATCTCAAGGCCGAGGTCCCTCCAAGAGTAGAGGACCGCCCTAGTCTCAGCATCCAACCTCACCTCGGGATCCTTAATGGCCACTCGCCAATGAGTCGGGAATGACCATCCTTCAGAGTTCCGAACAAAGAAGTATCTCCTCTTCCAGGCCGATACTTTGTTCGAGTTACGAAACAAAACCTTGAACCCGGGGCGAGGAGAGATATAATAGCTCTGGCGGGTGTTCCCGTGCAGACAAGAAGAGTTCTTAATGGAGCAAATCGAGCTAAAGATGTCTAAAGTAAGAGGTCAATTATACTCATGGAAAAGTGAGATTGTGCCAACAATGGTACGGATGGAGTTCAGGTGTAGCTTGTCTATAGTGACGTAAAAGAACTTGATAATTTCTACGATGAAGGGGTGGAGCGGGAAGCGCAGCCCAATTACGAGTTGTTCCTCAAAAACCGCGAGCTCGTGATGATTGTGAGCCCAAGGGAATTAACCCAAAGGAATGTTGAAGACAAGAGTGTCGGGAAGACGGTAATGGGCTATCAAGAACAACAATCTGTCCAAGGTCATCGTGGAAGGGCCGAAGTTGTCCGGATCCCAACCTCGAGAAGAAGACGAGACCCCCTCTCCGAAGGTCAGCCGCTCTACCTGAGATTCAGGTTCCTCAAGCCGAGATGGCCCGACAGCAAGTAAAGGCGTTTCTCCTAAAAGGTGTAAAGAGGAGCTCTCTAGCAAAGAGTTGGCCTCACCAACGGGAGCTGAGGACCACACCTCGGCACCCTCGGGCTCGCTAGAATCGCTAAGTAACCTATCTATGCTAGCACTAGACATGTTGGACAGGAAAAGGAAAAGGGAACAACTATCTAAAGAAGACAAACTCACCAAAGAAGGCGACAACGACCCGGACACAAAAGGATAGAATGGCGAGCTGAAGGACTCTGACGCGACCTCAAGAGAGCTCAATTACACGATTTATGGCGAGGATAATGGGCCCTTCGGCCCCTATTTATAACCCACCACATCTGTGCGATCCAACGGCTCCCATGAGAACCGGTTGCACGCTACCCGAGGACGAAATCGGTTGAGATCTCGTCCGAATCGGAGGAAAGCGATAAACCTTATCAACACATTGCTCTCCTTCAAAAATGGAACAGACCTTATCCGCATGCCCGAAGATCCCAGAGATCTTTTGTAAGGCCCACGACTACTCCATTATATAAGGACATGAAACCCCAAGGCAAAGGTACGCATGGTTATTTACTCACTAGCATTCAAGCATTCAGATATTTAGCTCGCACCCGTAGTATAGTACTGACTTAAGCATCGGAGCGATCTCGCCGGGTTATCCACCCCGGGTTCTCTGATTTACTGTTCTGCAGTTTGGTCCAGCTCGCCGCACAACCAGAGTTCGGATCGCCTTCCAGCTAGGAGTATATGGATCGCGCACAATCACATTGTAATCTGAATGGGTGTCAAGATGACAAACCAATAGAACCAATCAAAATGAAAGAGATCCACACTACAAAACTCCACTCTCTCCCTTTTTTTCATTTGGATAGTACACATTTGTTAGGCCCCATTTACTTCTTGCAAGCAAACTGACACCGATTTCTGATCAAATGTCTTACCAATGTCCTTCTTCCTTCCCTCAAACCCCTTAAATTCCAGCTTAATAGCTCACTCTAACCTCCTACCCCTGACTCCTATAAATCTCAACATTTCAGCCCCTCAATCTTCCTCTTCTAAACACTCCCCTTCAACCCCTTCTTCATCCCAGCCCGATTCTTTCTTTCTTTCTTTCTATTTTTCTCTTCTATTTTCTTTTTTTTTCAAATTGTTCAAAAGTAATCCTCGCAAAGCCTTTCCCACCCCAGAAGAACAATCCATATTGGTAGCAGGGCTCCTTTAAGCTGTGTTTCAGAGTATTAACTGAAACAAATAGCATAGGAATTTAACTCAGTGAGAGCACAAGCTTATATAATCCATCTGCAATGGTTAAAAGGGATTTTGTGCTTTATTTGTGGGGAAGCATTTTAGCTCAGAAGAATCAGAAAAAATAATCAGCTTTCTGTCCTATCTATGTTGTCAATAGGTTGATAGTGGACAAAACTCTTAACAGTAACTAAGCTACACCATCTTTCTGATTTAGTTATATTAGTCAAATGCAATACTCTGACCATTATCTGCTTTATCTTTTTCTAATTGTACAGAGCTGAATTGCTATCTATATTGTTAATAGGTTGATGGTGAGTACAACACTCTACACTCATAATAACAAATTTCATCATGTTTCTTCTAAAAGGAAGCATAATGATTAAAATTTATCAATACAGTATTTAGGAATGAAGGTGTGCATGACAGGGTTTGCATGTAATGGGACTATTTTTTATATTGGACATGTAGTAATGAGGAAAGCATAAAAAAGTACAAAGATGGCAAGTCTACATCTTATACAAAATACACCTTATCTCCATAAATAGTTGAGATAAAGATTCGTTGAGTTTGAGTTGGGTAAAAGGGAATCTATTCCCTTATCTTGTGCTTTAATATAATTCAGACAAATTCATTACTTGACACAAAATTAAAAGAATAATAAAATAGAGGCATAAGCACAGAAGAATATCCTGCTTAAGTAAACCAATCTGCAATATGCTCACAATCATTTTCAAAATGGGTGGGCTGATAATTTTTCTTTCAAAAGCCAACCATTTAAACAGAGTAAGTTCTGCTTCTCCACAAAAATATTGTAACATGCATGGATAGGAGAGAAATCTCCTTTTTTTGCTTCATGACTCCTGTGTCTTGGCCAAGAGTAATATGGTATCCTCTTCGGAAAGGTGATGCATTATATCACACTCACATATAGAAAAAAAAGGGTGCATTTAGTGTGGTAAGATGCAAATCTTGGAAGAATACCTTGTTAAGAGGTGACTTCAGGCTTACACGAAGCAGCAACGCTGTAATGAATTCCAGTGTCATGTAGTTTACATTAGGAAGCCGCTTAAGTATGTTTTTCATTGAATGTATGCTGGAACGAGCACTGATAATTTCATGATAGAGGTCAAACGTGGCAAGTGGCTCAGGAAGACTTGCAAGGTAACACTTAACTAGAAATGCAACATCAACTGGGTTCGCACTCTCCGACAGTGATGCATTGTAATCTGCAAAAGAAAAGTTAAACCAAAAGATAACAAGGATGATAAAAACAACGCACAAGAAACAAATATTTGTAAGAGATGATACCATGGTTGTATAGTGAAACCAACTGCTGAATAACCTTTTTATCTCCTTCAGATTTGAACAACTGCTCTGAGTTTAAGCCTAGAAAGCACAACCATATGCGATATTACATCCAATGACTTGGTGAGCTATAAAGGAACATATAGTAGAAAACTGTTCTCTTTTAATTTCATATTAATCACCTGATAATATGAGAAAATCTGCACATCTGACCAAAATATAAGGGACGGGCTTGTTGGACTGTTGCCGTTGTACTGTTATCTCAATTGGCACCCCAAATACTGGAAGAAAAATGGAAAAAAAAAAAATAGAATGAATCACCTCAAAGTAGTCAAAATAGAAATTTTGGTATACAATTACTATATGCAGGGTTTTAAATTTTGGCAATTGATCATTTAACAGTAGATATGGCTTTAAATAGAACGGATTGGAAAAACAGGATTCATGTAGCCAACCCCATATAGTTGGGACAAGGCATGGATGATGATGATATTTCATTCTGATTTTGCTTAACAAAACATAAGTTGGATTTAAATGAAATAGGAAAACCTAACAGAGATGAGAAATTGAGAAATTAAGAATAAATAGGAACTTTGGACAAGTATTAGATAGGAAATAGAAATAAAGAGCATAAAATAGTAGGAAAAGAAGGAAACTAAACTTGGTAATTTATCATTTTTCTTAGGATTCATCTGGAAGACTGGAACCTTGAATCTATGGTGAAATTCCAAAAAAAAAAAAAACATATAGTTGTTTCCGTGTTAGAGAATATCAACCCATTCAAGGACCTCACCTAACAGCTTAAGCTTTTAGGTTGAATGGTTCGTTGACATGGTATCAGAGCCACTACTCTAGAATGGAATAGCCTTATCACCAGTTTATAGACACTTGTTGAGGCCTTATCCATGTACCATGATAAGTTAACCCATAATGATCCAAGCATGGTTTAAACAAAAGACATCTTACAAGCAGAAGGTTGAACTTTAACCTACCCATTACCACCAGCAGTAGCTGTAGTTCTCTACCCTGGACACCCTGAGCTTTACTTTTCTACTCTTCATTAAGAAATTTGAAACTAGTTAGCATGTTGCCTTGAGATACTATGAGCAACTACGACTGCTATAACAAACCTTTTTTAGGAATTCACTAGAAGGAACCAAACAAATGAATGATGCAGCAGTCCACCAAGTAGGTTATTACTAAATCATATTGAATTTGATAGTCTCCAAACAAACAACTTCAACTTACAACCTTTTATGTTTACAGGTTGCAAATACAATTTGATCTCATTGATGAAGGTAGCCTAAAATTAATTGAGCATAAATGATTTTTCACACACTAGATGGGGTTCTCTCGACCCACAAGTCAAATTCAGTTTGCACGTTTCAATGCAAGTCCTGCTAAGCAGGCCAGCAATTCAAGCCAGTCRCTACTCACTAGCATCTCAACCATCCACCAACTTTCCTAATTGTTTTACACATCCACTGTCAGTACTTGCTAATGAATAAACAGAAAACAAAGAAGATAAAAACGATTAATCAAATCAACAATAATAAAAAGCACCATTCAGTCCCAACTCTCATCCTTCAACTGGAACACTTTCCTTTATATTCTCTTATGACAGCATGATGTTCAATTTGTCTGTGGACTCAGTCAAAGAGAAAGACGGTAAACAAGAATATCAGAATGCCTGAAACTGAAATTTTTTTTTGATAATTGAAATAATTTTATTAATCAGCAATAGACAATAGTACAAAGTCCCCAAGGAAAGGCACGAGTTGCAACCTCTCCGGGCTAGTTAAGTACAGATTTCCAAATTAATAACAACTTACATAGAAGCACAAAAACGATCTTCCCTATAAACCCCCTTGTTT